TGAAACAGATACAGAGCAGTTTAGAGAATATTACAGATACTCATGTTTACTTCCCATATTTAATAAAAGTTAACATTTTGCCATAGCCAGTTCTTTTTTTGAAGAAAGTTTATAGATTTAGTTGAAACCCACTCTTTATCCCTCCCCACTCCTCTTACCCTCTCATACTTCACCAGTATCCACTGTTCTGAAGTTGGTTTGAATTCATTCTGTGGTTTTATGTATTTAAGAATATGTATGTATGGATTGATCTGTTTTCATCTAATGTGGTGGCCATTTCATGGGCCCTTTCCATCCAGAGGGCCAGGTCTTACTTCTGGGAAATTTTTCTTGGATTATTTATCTGAGCATTTCCTCTCTTCTGCTTTCTTGGCTCTCTCTGGAACTCCTATAATTTAGATATTGGGCCTCCTGCATTGGTCTTATTTTCTCCTATTTTTTTTTTCTCTTTGTCTTTAATTCAACTTTCTGGGAATTTTCTCAGCTTTATTTTCCAATCCATTTATTAATTTTTTTCCATTGAAATTGTCATATGTTTTTAATTTCTTTAATTTTAAATATCTAACTTTTTTTTTTATTCCTCAAATGTTCATTTTAACGTTTTCCCCATCTTGTTTTATGAATGTAGTAATATCTACTCTTACCCCTCTAAGAATAGTAATTACAGTCCTTTTATTATTTGTTTCCATTTTTTTTTTTGTTTGTTCTTAGTTTTCTTTTCTGGCTTAGAATCTGTTTTCTCCAGGTTGCTTTTTTCCTGTTTCTTTTCGTCTTTATTGTCTTTGTTAGAGGTCTTTCCTTAGGAGTCTGGTGATGCTAAATGCTCACTGATATTTAAACATGGGGCACTAAAAAACTGAAAGTTCTGAGTTTGAGATTATGGTGCTCACTTGGCTGGGCTGGGCCAGGTCCTTGGGGGAACCTGATGTCAGAAGTACCAAGATTTTCGCCTTGGACTAGTCAGAATCCTTTAGAAGCATTTCCCAATCTCCTTCCCGGAGGGTATAGGCTCCCTTCACTTTTTCAGGATTTACTATATAAACATTCCCTTAATTCTCTTGTTCTGTATAATAACTTGCTCTCACATTTGTCTGTTTTTTTCTTTTCCACAGACTCTTTGTTTTAATCTCTTAAAACTTCTGGCTGCATGAAGCAAGAAAGGAAATCTAGGAACCTATTGGCTTTTTAAAGATTTCTATCCAGTCTTATTTACCACTCTGTCTTCATCCTCATTGCCCGAGGTATCTGGTAGACCAAGTTGGGTTACTTCCCGGTTCTCTCCACTTATAGATTGAGATTCAGCTTTCTTTGGTTTTCTGTCAGTTATCTCCCATTTGTTTGCTTTCTGGCTTCCAAAGTTTTAGTGCTATAGCCTTCTCTCCCATTCTCCTTATCCTTGTGAGTTTATGCCTTTTATAAAAAGAATCTGCTGTCATCTTTGTGAGGTTTTTAGAGGAAATGGTAGAATGCTCAATATGCCACGTCTTTACCGGAAAGTCATTCTTACTGTGATTTTAAGTCGGATTTCTCAAAATACTGGTGAGGTCAAGTAACTTTGCATTTGTTTTTTGTCTATTGTGTTTCTTTTTCTGTGACTTGCTTGTTCATATTCTTTGTGTATTTTTCCTCTTAGATTGTGGGTCCTTTTTAAAAAATGGATTTGTTAGAATGTCTATATAACCTGGAACTCACCCTTTGTTAGTAGTATTCTTTGAAAAGATTTTCTCCCACTTTGGAGCTTGGCTTTTCACTTTGTTGTGGTTTTTTTTTTTTTTTTTTTTTTTTCCTATTTCAATATAATATAGGGTGCCTGGGTGGCTCAGTCGGTGAAGAATCTGCCTTCATGTCAGGTCATGATCTCAGGGTCCTGGGATTGAGCCCACTGTTGGGCTCCCTGCTCAGTGGGGAGTCTGCTTTTCCCTCTTCCTCTGCCCCTCCCCCTGCTCATTTGTGCTCATGCTGTCTTTCTCAAATAAACAAAATCTTAAAATATATATGTATAATTAAAATATTAAGCACATTTAGTATATTAAATCTCCACTTTAATATAGTCAAGTGTATTCTTTATAGTATTGTTCATTTAGGGTCTTACCTAAGAAATCCTGCCCTACTCCAAGGCCACAGAACTATCCTCTGATATTTTATTCTAACAGTTTAAAAATTATGCTTTTTCACATCAAAGCCTTTAAGTTATTCCTTATATACGGCGTAAGGTAAGAAGGTAATTTTATTTTTACTTTTACATATTGATAATCAATTGTTCTAGCATCACTTATTGACTATCCATCATTTTCCCAGTCATCTGTGATGCCATTGCTGTAATTCTTAAATGCATGGGTGTATTTCTGGGCTCTCTATTCCATTTCATCGCAGTTACTTTTCGCTTTCTGTGTCAGAATCACACGATTTTAGTTACTATAGCCTTAATAAAAATTTTCACTTGTGGTAAGGCAAATGCCTCATCCTTCTTCAAAATTGTCTTTACTATTCTTGGCTCTTTTCTGTCATATTTTAAGATTAGCTTGAAAGTTTCCTATACACAGATATGGCCAGGTTGAGATTGTTATTGGAACTCTATTGAATTTATAAAGTAATTTGGGATTTAAAAAATAATATTGGGTATTCCATTCATGAACATGGTATATTGCTCTATTCATTTAGACCTTCTGACTGTCAATGAGGTTTTATAATTTCTCCATTTGAATCAACACTTCTTTTACTTCTTTTATTAGATCCATTGCTAGTACCTATATACCTTTTAGTTTTTGTGGATATGGTGACAGGAACTCTTAAAGATTACACTTTTTAATCAGTTTTTGCAGGTATATAAGAATGCTTTTGATTTTTTGATATGCTGAGATTGAATTCAGCAATCTCTCCCAATTCTTGTGATAGTTACAATAATCGGTGTATAAATTTCCTTGGATTTTCTATGAAGACAATCATATTGTTAACAAATAGCAACTTTATTTTTTCCTTTCCAATCATTATACCTTTTATTTCTTTTCTTGCCTTGTGGCATTGCCTGGGATAGCCAGTAGAATATGGATGAAAGTGGTGAAAGTTGATAGATGTTAGTTAAAGGAACATGTCACCTTTACTCTGATATGTATGTCACTAGAGCTGCTGGCTCTGGAACTATGTTGTGCCTGGTGGGTCTGTACCAGCAAAAGGTATATGTCTTTGGTATCTGAGAATAGGCATTTTTATTCTCACTTAATAGACGAAGAAACAGAAACTCAAAGAGGTAAATAACTTGCTTAAGACCACATAGCTAACAAGTGGAAGATTCAAACCAAAATCTTCTGATTCATAGTCAAACGCTATTTCCATGATTCCAAACTTCCTTCTGGCTCCCTATCTGTGCTAATGTGTCACCTTTCTCAGACAACACACTGCATCTTAAAAGAGATTATTTCAGAACAATGCTTTTACCCAGTTAGATGCCTCTAATAGTGGGAGTGTTAGGCAGATACTGTTTTGCCTAAACAGATGACTTGTCCTACTTATAACTTAACAAACAAACAAACAAAAAAATAAAACCTCACAGACTCTTAGAGTTGAATGGCTTCTTATCTTTTCCAACCTCCTATTTAATGTAGTTATCCCTATACCCCATTGCTGAGATCACCCTCCAGCCTTTACCTACTGCTAGGGTAGGTTTGTTTCCTTGACAAACAGTTGAATAATGGTCATGTGGATCCACACTGTCCCCACAATCTGGTCCAGAGAGCAATCCATTTTCTCCTCTACATTATACCTCTTCAAGTATTTGTTCTCCTTAGATCTTCCCTGTGAGACTACGCATCTCTAGAATGTTTGCTATTGTCTACATGAGATTATTTCCAGACTTTTCACTATTCTGATTATTCTCCTCTCAATGCTTTCCAGTTGCTCACTGTCCCTCTTGAAACTGATGCCCAGACTTTAAGGTGGGGTCTGATTGCAAACAAGTGGGGCTTTTTTGTCACATGATCTGGATATAGTCACTTCTATTGATGCACTCTAGATTTTTGTCTTCTTAGCAACTATGGCACATTGCTGACTTAAGTTTAGGGCGCACTCTTTGGCTATTTTCCCATTCCATCCCCTATATCCTTTCCTGCACCACTTCAGAGCTCTCTAGGTCAGGGCAAGGTCTCTGGGGAGGTAGCTAGGACAGAAATCTACTCTGTGACAGGGACAAAGGGGAAGGATCTGCAGTTTGGAGGCTGCCAACAGGTAACCCAGAAACACCTGATTAATCAGGAATAGGTGAATTCATTTGGGGCTGCTGTCCTGGGACAGAATAAAAGTCAAATTTCAGAGCATCAGTACTTTGAGATTTTTGCTATAGAGTTTAAATTTCTTACAAGAAACCAGAAATCTCATGATTTTAAAAAAATCTTCTTAAGAGGGGCACCTGGGTGGCTCAGTGGGTTAAGCCTCTGTCTTCGGCTCAGGTCATGATTTCAGGGTCCTGGGATCGAGACTCACATTGGGCTCTCTGCTCAGCAGGGAGCTTGCTTCCCTCCTCTCTCTGCCTGCCTCTCTGCCTACTTGTGATCTCTCTCTCTGTCAAATAAATAAATAAAATCTTAAAAAAAATAAAAACTCCTTAAGAGATGATAGAATAACCCCAGGAAGGGAAGGTACAGCAGGAATCAGAGTTCTCTGCTCAGCTTTATTGACAGGCCAGAAGGTTTAAATGAATAGAGCAACATACCATGTTCATGGATGCAATACCCAACATTGGTTTAGTGGGGTTACCAACCATCCATCCTTCTATCTAACACAAATGAATTTCAGGAACATGCCTTTGAGATGGAAATCCTAGCTGCCCAAATCTCCCTTGCTCCTGTCCTGTTTATAAACCCATACTTACAAATCAATAAGCCTCCCCCTACCCCAACCTATGTTCCTCGTCTCCATCAAATAGTTGTAATTTTGCCCAGACAGTATTTACAAGGACAGCATCGTGTGACTCCAGTGTTGACAATACAATAGTGAAAACTGCAAACATGAGATGGCAGGAGGTCTCAGTGATTGTGGCTGAATTTGACGCATTTGTGTTGGTAACAGCCTATGTACCTAACGCAGGTCAAGGTCTGTTACGCTTGGGGTACTGGCAGCACTGGGATGAAGGCTTTCGCAAGTTCCTGAAGGGTTTGGCTTCCCAGAAGCCCCTTGTGCCATATGGGGACCTCAATGTGGCTCATGAAGAAATCGACCTTCATGACCCCAAGGGAAACAAAAAGAATGCTGGCTTCACTCCACAAGAGCGTCAAGGCTTTGGGGCATTACTACAGGCTATGCCACTGGCTGGCAGTTTCCGGCACCTCTACCCCAACACAGCCTATGCCTATACCTTTTGGACCTACATGATGAATGCTCAATTCAAAAATGTCAGTTGGCACCTTCATTACTTTTTGTTGTCTCACTCTCTGTTACCTGCATTGTGTGACAGCAAGATCCATTCCAAGGCCCTGAGCAGTGACTACTGTCCTATCACCCTACACTTAGCACTGTGACACCACCCCCAAATTACTTTAAACCTGGGAAATGAGCCCCAAGCTAGCTTTAAAACTTAACCTCCCCAAACTTCTTTAAAAACAGATGTAGATATCTGCATTGTATTTCCCTTCTAAAAATATAAATCCTTCAACCAGGCTCTTACTGATGCTTTTCTTTAAACCCCCAGTTTTTTCTTTTTCTTTTCTTTTTTTTTTTTTTGCCTTAAACAAAAACTATTGCTGACTTCCTTTGAACTGTCCACATGAAAACAAAGAGCCATAGTTTCAAAAAAAAAAAAAAAAGGTACCTGTCATCCATTTTCTAAGTACTAAGCACTTGATACATCTTAACTCTTTTTGTCTTGGCAACAGTCCTTTGTGGTAGACACTATTATCACTGTTTTACAGGTAAGGAAACTGAGGCATGGAGTTTAAGTGTCTGCCCAAGGTCATTCAGCTGAAAGCCGTGTGTGGGATTAGACTCTGGCAGCCCCTTTGAGGTGTCTGGGCTCTGAATCACCATAGGTGCTGTGTCTTTAGATGAGGAAGGGACCTGCTGTGGATGGCCCATGCGTGGGACCTGCAGCCCCAGACCTGAGTTCCCACTCTTGGTTCCTTCACCAAATAATTTCCTCTAGTCATAATCACCAGCGACATTCCTTTCCAAGGGTAGGATCTTCCACTAGGCTTCAGCCCCTTTATAGATGAAGAAATGTGAGATCTAAGTGTTAAATCATGTCCTCAGGGTCATGCAGGCTATAAGTGACAGAATTAGGATGTGAACCCAGCTCTGGGTGACTCTAGTGTCCCCTCAACTTCCCTTACACTACGGTGTGTCTACTGTGGGGCCATCTCTTCAGAAAAAGCCTAGACACTCTCAGTATCCTCTTCCATAGGGGATGGAGAATGTGGGGGTGGAGGGCATTCTTCAGGGAAAAAATCATCACCGTCATCATTATAACCAAAAATCATCTTTGTCATTATTATTACCATCTTGTTAAAGGTCTACCAGTATGCTGGATGCTACAGTCTGGGAAGACTTTTCACGCCTCTTTGAGGATCCCTGAAAATATGAGTGTTTCATCATTGACCTGGCAGAAGGAAGTTAAAGGGTAAGTAAGGCTTCAGCAAATCCAAAGATGGGTTTCTCCATTTCTTGAGCTGATTGGCTGGATTAATTTATTGTTTCTTATATACCATTCTCTGGTCTTGCATTCAGATCAAGCATAAACGTTTGCTTTCAGAATGTGAGTCAAGGGGGTGATTCCTAGAGAACCACAGGCTGGTGTCTGGGATCACTGGGCTATGCACATTCCTGAGCACACATATGTGTATGGACACACGTATACACGGCATGGACAAGCACACACACACTATACCACCACGTTTGTGGCGAGCAGCGTCTGGAACCAAGGGTTGCCTTCAAGTGAGCAGCTAGTGCATGGGGCTGCAGTCTCCATTCCCGGGGACATTTGTATGGCCAGTTCCACCAGCCTGTGGTGGGGTGGAGCCTGCCCTCTCAGACCGATTCCTCGCTGGGACAGTCCTTCCAGAGGTGTATCCAGGGGCCTTTCAGGCCTTCTCAACACATCCCCTGGTGGGACTTGCAGGCCAGGCAGCAGCAGTGCCCACTTCTCAGCCCCCATGGAAGGGTCCCCGTGCTCTCTGCTGCCCCCTCTGGCCAGCCGTCCTCTTGCAACAATGGAGGGATGCCTTCTTAGGTCAAAAGGGAAAGCATTATTGCTGCTCTGTGGCCAGGTAAACAAGCCGCTGGCTTTGAAGTCCCAGGGGGGATGTGCTCAGGCTGGAGTGGTGAGTCTGAAGGAGCTGCCTCCCCCAAACTTGGCTGTGTTTGTTAACTCCACCCTCCCACCCAGGTCTGCTCCATTTGATGTTTCAGTGGGGAAGCCAGAGGAGGGAGGCCTGCTCCCGGGGTCCTCAGAGGGCTGTTTTCAAGTCTTGCTGAGCCTGCGGGCCTACTTGGGAGCTGAATGCAGACTAGGGGCTGAGTCCAGAGGAGGCCTGCCAGGGAAGCCCCTGCCCTTCGAGGCAGTCAGCTGGGGTGTGGCCAGGGGCAAACCACAGAATGTGCTACTTCCCTTGGGCCATGTTTTTATTCAGGTGGCATCAGGTAAGAATGAACAGCAGGGGAAGACTGGAGGGAGAAAGAGGCACCTAAAGGCAGCGTTGGTGCTTTCAGTGGCCATGGGCCCGCCATTGCCACTTACAGAATCTCTTTCTTCCCTTCTCTCCTTGACCACCAAAGCAGCATAAGGTGGCCATTTTGCCTTTCCCCATTCTGCTGTGCCTCTGGCTCAGAAGCTACAGGTATGACCAGAGACCCTGCCCACCTGGCCCCTCCCCCAAGCAATAAAATGCACTGAGTGAGGACCTCTGGGGGTGGGGAGAAACTTCTGGAGAGTAGAAACCTGGGTAAGACAGTGCTCCCCCTGGGCTGGCTCTCTGGGCTTGCCTCAGGATTTCACTGCGTTCCAAAGCAGGTTTACGGCCTTTCAGGCCTACGCCACAGGAAACAAGACAAGGGATCAAGCATTATTATTAACTGGTTCAATATCCCATATGAATATTGGCCATGAACAGCTTCCCCCGCCCCTGCCTCTCTCCTCACTCTTCCTGCTCTCGCTCCCTTCTGAACTCCTCTATTTGCTACACCCAGATGTGCACACTTCTGCCAGATTCTCCCCTCCCCACAATGCCCCTCTCCAGTCTGTCCCTGCCTTCTTGCCCCCCCCCCACCCTCCCCCCAATATCACGATTGAGAAAGAGCTTGTTGATAAGACCTGGAAATCTGGAGTTATAAATCCTTCTAGCACAGACGCCCTATCTCCATGCTGATGCTTGTGGTGCCACAGAAAGGAGGCTCACCTGCTTGTGACCCATCCCCTTCCTCCCCGGCATTCTCCAATTGTCCTCTGCAAACATGGGCCAATGGGCCAATGGGAGGTACCTGTCTCAACAGGTGTGAGCCTGGTCTCACTTTCCTACAGGGTGATGGGGAGGTCACCCTCCAGCCCACCTGCTCTGGGCATTCCTGTGATTGTGGAAGGGCAGCCGACGCCACTCTCCTTTTGGATCCCCCCTGATTGCAGCTGTGGGAGGCCAAGCCCACCTCAATGGCTTTAGAAGTTTCCAGGTTAGCTGCTGGGTGCTCTGGCTACAGTGCAGGAAGAGCTTGTACTGTCTGGGAGGGTAGCTTTCCCTGCTAAGCCACAAGCACCTTGAGGGAAGAGAGTGTTTCTTATTTGTCATTGGATCTCTATGTCCAGCAGACTGCGCAGAACACAATTACTTGGTAAACGACTCAGAACTATCTGGTAAATTGCTGTCATACTCATCACCAGGAAATATTTACTGGGGGAGTCTCATGTGCAAAGACCCTGCTAAGCAGGAGGCAGCACAAAGATTAATTAGACATCATTCCCACTTTCAGGGGCGTGCCCCGGAGTCAGGGAGATCTAGAGGAGTTCGCTTGCTAGGGTCACAGGAGGGAGCTGGAGCTGGGGGCCCCAGGGAATCTGCTTTGGTAACCAAAGTTTGACAAAGAGTAAACTTAAGCAGATAACCCCAGACCCAGACCCCGTTCACTGGGGATCTCTGCATATTCAGAGTAGAGATATTAACTCACTGGCTATCTGCCTGTCTAGCTTTTTCCTGTGTCATGTCAGTGTCCTCGTCTCAAAAAGGTGAATAAAAATAAAAAAAAGTTGTGTCTCTATTTGGAATGAATTCCTTAAGCTGGTAGCCTGGGCACAGAGGAAGTAAAACTTGCCCCCACCGCATGTTAGGTGGGCCTTGCGGTTTGGTTTGGGCTCCCCATGGATCTGCAGCCAGAGCTGCCACTGCCCTCAGGAGGAAGGAAGGAGGAGGTGCAGGTGTCCGTCTGGAGTTCAGCTCATCCTAACCCACCTTAATGGAGTGGCTCATCCGTGCTGGCCTCGGGAAAGAGAGGCAATGATAATGGGAGTGTAACTCCTCTTCTAGAACAGGCGATGTATGTCTCTGAGAACCTGGGAGAAGGACAGCAAGCTGATCTCTCGGAATCCGAGGGTCAGCCCAGATGATGGGAGGGGCTGTGGCTGTAGCAATGCCATTGTCTCATCACGGTCACCCTCTCTGCTTGGAGTGGGGGTCTAGCATCATGTGTGGATGGTGGGGGTATCATCAATGGGTGGCATTTTCTGCACAGCTCTTTTAGGGGGGTGCTTCTGAAACTGTTTCTACTGAAGCCCCATTAATGGCAGAAAAGAGCGAATTTGCACTTCACAAGCGGTGTGGGGTTTCAGATCACTGCAAACAGGAGATTTCTTTGAAGCCCCATATTTTATCTCAAAAATTTTGCACCATGATCATGCATTTGCTTTTATATAAAAAAATGCAGTTACGATTACTTATTTCTGAATAAAATTGATGCCTGGAGAAGATGAGCTATTTTTCCTAAGGCCTTTTGTACTCCCTATGGCTCACTGCCCTATGCCCTAATTTGTGAAGCATGCCTTTTAGGAAAGGCATAAACACACACACCACATTCAGGGGTACCATCCTGAAGTGGGTCCCTGCCATACTTGCATGGCCATGCCCTTGATACCAAAACACTCCTCCGAGTTTGTCCTGGCCACACACTCCTCCAGGCTGACCCACAGGATCATCCCTTCCCTTCTGGACTTATCCTGGTTCTTCTTGCAGGATCTGGAGGTCAGGTGGCCTGTAACACTCTTCGCCAAATGTCTAGGGACAGCAGCTCTAAACCTTTCTGCAGTGTCCTTCACCAGGAATGGGCAGGGCAGGCAACAGCAGTGTGAGATCCTGAGGGGCTTGAAAACAACTCCTAAAGTGGATACTTCAGGACCTAATTACCTAACGGGCTAAGAATTGCCCTTGTGCCCTTGGTGGGCTTTAGCTCTGTACCCCACCTTGCTTTCCCTGACACAACTGTTCCATCTGTAAAAGGGAACCAGGAATCAAGGCTGCTGTTTATCTGACAAGGTAGAAGCTAGGTG